TGTTGAGTGTATGTCAGATTGGGCGGAGTGACCATTAACATACAGCATTTGATGATGTCTTCACCAAGTAAATGAGAGGTGCATCTCTCCTGGCTTCTTTCCTAGATACTGGGGATTCATAGGAGTTTGGACTTTCCCACTTCATCGAAAGGTTTTGGATGGTTGGCATTGTGACGTCATTGTAGTATTTATCTCATTGCACTGAGGAAGTTTCATTTCGTTCTTTGTATACTTGCACAAAACTTGCAATATTTCTTTGTCGCATTGAAACAATGCGAACAAATAGTTTGAATTTCACCGTCATGCTAAGAAATGTGTATACAAGTTTTATCCATTGTATTGTAGGGTCGAATACAAGTTTGCCACCACGTTAAGAAAATGCTCACATGTTTTACTTCTAATATTAAACACATTGCAATGAAAACTTCAGAATTTTTTTGGAGTCACATTTTCTCATACATTCATGCCTGAAGCTTTGATGATGAGTATGAGCCAACCAGCTTTTGGCAAGATCAAAGTACACGCTCATTTCTCTCTTTTATTTTTGTTTAGACTCCCATCTTGTATTGATTGATATATTTTAGAGAGCGAGAGTGTGTTATGGATAGAAGAGTGGAAGTAAGGGATTTTTTGGGGTTTTTCCTTTATTTGGAGAGAAAGGAGAGTTTTTTGTGTTCTCTCTACTTAGAGAAAGTGAGGGAATTGACTTGAGAGTAGAAAAGGATGATGATAACTGTTGTCGGTGACAAGGCTGTTGGCATTAGCAGCTGTGTTGAGGGAGGATAAGATATGGAGGAAGGGGATGTGTGAGTGGGTTCTGGGTTTGGTGAGCTACGGATCTTGAGTGAAAAAGTTGGTTGTGAAGTTGGGTTTTTCGGATGCTTAAAGAAGAGGAAGATGGGTTGGCATTGCAGGTGTGTGCAAAAAGTAGCAGAGAACTGGCTAGGGTGTGGTGTGACCATAGTGAGGAACTTAGCAAATGAGTTGTGCAAGTTGGAAAGGGTTACTGAGATAAATGCAAAGATGGGCTAGGATGCATGCAGGCAGGCTTGAATAGGTAGAGGGGGTGTTTGGGCTACAGGAATAAAGGAGGGTCGTGCGTGGGATAGAACCAAAATGTAAGGGTAAGAATGAGCAAGTCATTGGGTATTTCGCATGAGATAAAGTCTAGGGAAGAAAAGTAGGCGGAACAGCGAGCATCATGTTGGGGTTGGGAGTTGGCTTTAGTTTTACTTTTACCTCTTTATTTTTTTTTTGGTAGGGATGCATGTGCCTGATTGCAGAGATTTGGGCTATGGGATAAAGGGATTTGATTTTGGCAAGGAATTTTTTTAATAATAATAATACTAATTTTATTGAAAATATTAAAGTCATGCTAATTCATATATATATTTCTTAAAAGGATATATTTTTTTATGGAGTTCTTAAATTCTCGTCATTAAAATGCCTTGAATTTTGTGCCTTGTGTGGATCATGAATAATTTATTCGATCTTCACTCATGCAGTAACTCAGGCAATGTGGGTGTCATTCATGGGTAATTTTGAAGTTTGGATACATTGATGCAATCTGTTTTGTAAATGGATGATGTTTGAACTATTTTGACTTTGTTTGAGGCATTTGTGCCTAACTTGGACGACGTTGCATCCATTGCTCATCATTTTTTTCTGTCTTTGATTTGGTAATTGGGAGGGGTTTTTTGAAGCATTTCCAACAATAACAACAACAAGCCTTTATCCCATTAGGTGAGTTGGGCTTCATAAATCCTTTTTCTCCATTATATCCTATAGAGTGTCATTTTCATTTAATTCTAATATATTAAGATCATTTTTTATTCAATATTTTAAAGTTTTTTTAGATCTGCGTCTACCTTTCTTAACATAAGTTAAATCTAAAAAATCTACTCTCCTAATCGGATCATCAGATGGTCGATGATTATGTGACCAAACCATCTAAGACGCGACTCTCTAATCTTGTTTGCCACTGAAGCTACACCAACCCTTTCACGGATAGATTCGTTTCGCATTTTGTCTCTACGTGTCAAGTCACTCATCCACCTAAGCATTATCAGCTTAGCAAAACTTAACTTTGTTTTGTGCTTCTCTTTTAAAGGCTATCATTCTGTGCCATAAAACATTGCATGTCTCATCACTTTCTCATAAAATTTCCTTTAAGTCTAAACAATACTTTTCTTTCACACAATAGGCCCGGTGCTTTCCTCCACTTCAACCAACCAACTTGAATTCTACTAATAACATCCCCATCTATATCAACCAAAAATATCTAAAACATTCACATCTCTTAATTATATGATCGCCCATAATTACAACTCAACCACTAGAGCCACTACTACTAAAATTACATTCCATGTATTCAATTTTAGATCTACTCAAACGAAGGCTTTTAGACTTAAATGTAGACCTACATAATTCAAGTTTTTTGCTAAACTCTTTCTCTAGTTTTATCCACAAGAAGGATATCATCCATGAAAAGCATACACCAAGTTACATCCTCCTGTAAATATCCAGTTAGAGCATCCATAACTGAAGCAAAAAGATTTGGGCTTGAAGCCGATCCTTGATGTTATCCAACTGAAATAAGAAAATAAGTGGTCAATCCTCCTTCTGTTCGGACGTAAGTAACAACTCTAGTTTTTCCAACTTTTTGGATATATTGATAGATACCTTTTTACGAATATGCGACCATTCTAGTTTTTCCAACTTTTTGGATATATTGATAGATACCTTTTTACGAATATGCGACCATTGGATTGAATCCGTCTTTTGCGACATGTTAGGCATTTGTCGCCTTTTGTTTGGGGACAATTTGGTGATGCATCATGCAAGTGTTCCTTGGTTATTTGATGCTTCATACACGTTGGCGTTGTCTGTTGTGTAAATGAGCAATGTTTGGGCAGTTTTGAATGTGGTCAAGGAATGTCAAAGCCAAGTTGCCTGAAGTCGCATCTGTTTTCTTCTATTTTTCTTGGGTGGCAATTTATTTATGCAAGAGATCCTTTATCAAGACACATCAAAGTAGTTTGTTTTGCAAACTGGAGACATCAGGATTGCATTCGAGGTAATCCTTACCTAATTAGGGCGATATTGCATCCATTGTTCCTCATCTTTTTCGCACTTGGTTCAATTTGTCGTGGAGGTTGTTTTGACAATTTTAACGCTCCAGACATATTAACATTCTATTTTGCAAATGGGCATTTGAATAATTGGACTGTGGTCAAGATGAATTCAAAACCAATTCACTTGGAGTCATGGCTGCTATCCGTCATTTTTGTCACAAATGTTTGCTTCAATTCGTGAAATAGATATAGAGGTTAACAAGGTTATCCAGTGATCTCATCAAGCTGTCCAATTTTTTTTCCCTTTGATAATCTTTTGAGCAAAATAAGACTATTAGAAGGTATTACCATTTAGTTTGAAAGAAGTATTTTGGAGAGGTGAGTGCTCCATTTTGGATAATTAATTCATGCTGTAGTTGGTTAAGGAGGTAGACGATTCGATCTTTTTCACATATTTGCTTAACCCAGCCTGGACCTCCTTGTGATTGTAGCTCATCTTCTTTTGGCATGGATTCCGCTCTGACACCATGTTAAAATTTTATAGGGAGTAGAGGGAACTAAATGAGGAATTGTCTATTTAATTTCTGTTCAATTACCTGGACGAATTGCATGGGGTTTTAAATTTTTAATACAACTTGATTACAAGGATCATTCAATAAGAAATCTGCAGTAATGATTCTTAATTCAAAAAGGGAAATAATTTTGAATCATCTAGCTTTTTTACAGCAAGAATGAATTTAAATGCTACCAAAAAAAGCTACATAAAAACGAAGCTACAACACACAAATTCAGGATTGCAAAAGGAGAAATCCGTTGTATTATATGCAATTAATTCTTTTTTAACCATGAAACCAAAGACATCAAAGGCGCCGGAAATGAAAACACTCTTTCCATCAAAATTTAAATCACATGCTATTTTCATTTCCCTTAGCAATCACATGCTATTTTCATTTACCTTAGCTTTAATAGATGTCAATCTAACTATTCTTGGTTTTGCCATACATCTTAACACTCCTATTTATACTGCACTTAAGATTTTGAATGATTTTTCTACTGTAAGTACTTAAATCCATACAACATTACCAGTATAATTATAATATTTTTAGTATTTTGAGCAGCTTGCTTCTTCTTTTACAACTTGTTTTATTATCTGCAATTCTTGTTTATTTGAGGTAATTAGCTGGTACTAGTTTCATCTGTGAACTTGCCATGCCATTGAGTTATATTGAAACCATCTGCAGAAGTGAAAAACTCTTGCCAAGTGCATCCCAAAGCTATGAAAGATGTAAATCATTGAAAACTGTCTCATAACGTCTCCAAATTTAGTGAAAGTGAAGAGTAATGTTAAATATTTGACCATAGATAACTAAAATGAGCTTTTATACCGTCAGATAATTTCTCTCTTCTTTGTTATATTGTATAATTGTTTCATTGAAAGTTGCTTATTTCTTGATAGAGGTATTTGGCTTTTCGGTTATGTTTTTATATTTTAGAATTTGCTTTCGGTGGATGTTTTTATAAGGAAAACTTTATACTTTGTCTTTATAGCTCTTTGAGTCTGCAAATTATTTTTTGCGTTTACCGTGTTTACCAATTACATCTCACAGCTATTATAGATGTAATTCAGTGATGTCTAAATTTAGCCAAAGGGAAGAATATTTAAAATAGTTGACAACATATAAGTAAAGTAAGCCTTTTAACCATCAGATAATTTATATCCCCTTGTTTTTACAATCACGAGGAGTTGCTTTTTTTTATTCTCATATTTAAGAATTTCTCAGTAGATGTTTTTATTAAGGTAAACTTTATAGCTCTTTTATGTCTTTATAGCTGTTTGAGTTTGCACATTATATTGTGTTAACTTTTTCTAAGCAACTCATTTGGTATTATTTATTGATTTATCTCGGTTGCTGGATATTTTTCAAGAACTGGAGGAAACATCTATAAAGATGGTGGATATGTATTGTAAAAACCTTGCACTTTCAAGCGATCTGGATCCTCAGGAGAATATGCATGGTGAAGAGCTGTTACATATGGCTAGCAGCGCCCTTGTCATGGTTTGTAATCATATACCATTTAATATTATATTTTCCACCGATGCTTTATTAGTTCTGCTTGAAAACTTGCTAAAAACACACCAGTTGTTAAAATATTACAAGGCTTATCAGTTTTTCTAAGGTTACCATTGTGTTTGATATTTGTTTTGCTTTCCATAACTTTTGAGAGAGAGAAAAAGGTGTTAGTCATTGATTGTATTCAAGTCTGGGAGAAATGAACTTGTCATTATACTCAAAGATTATGTGCATAAAAGGTGGGCAGATGACTGGAAATTTTTGGCACTTCTACTTTTATAGCAGTATAACTTGTTGACTTAATGTTAGACGAATTGAATGCTACTTGTTTTCCATACAAAAGTACTTTTGCCTTACGGGTATGATATATTGTTAGCATATTTATGGGGAACCTTGGTTGAGTAAATCATAAGCATGCATATGCTATTCCATTGCTATTTGTCGTCACTGGTTGGCCTCCTTCAATTTATGTAATACGAGATGTGATGGGGAAGGTGTTAAAAAATGTTGTACTTCTTGAATCTGTTACAATTTTAATCATGGTGGCATTTTTGAAAGGGTTAGATGATTTTGGTAATATGATATGATTGTTTAGGACTGTGGCATAGATAATTAACTTGTTTTTATCGATCTACTAGTAAATATTCCCTTATTTGGTATTATAATATATACTATGTTATATCTTTCACTTAATTGGGCTAGAGAGTTGCATAATGTGTCGCTCTTCGATCCTGCGGTCACTTATGAAAGCATGTATTACTGCATTGGTTAGAAAGTATGGCTGTGTTTACATTTTGTTAACAATGTATTGTGTTAAAAATTATGTTGGTCGAGTAAATAATAAGCATGCATATGCTATTCTGTTGCTATTTGTCGTCACCGATTGGCCATCTGCCATTTATGTAATATGAAATGTGTTGGGGAAGGTGTTAAGAAATGGTATATTTCTTGAATTTGTTAAAGTTTTAATCATGGTGGCATTCTTGAGTGGATTAAATGATTTTGGTACTATGATATTATTGTTAGAACTTTAAGTGCGGCGAAGTTAATTCAACTTGTTTATAGAGATCTACTTGTAAATATTCCCTTATCTGGTATTATAGTATTTACTATGTTATATCTCGATTGATGTAATGTTCAATTAATTTGGCTAGAGAGTTGCATATTGTGTCAAGTTGATTTTAGCTCTTCGATGCTGCAGTCACTTACGAAGGCATGTATGATTGGTTTGTTTGTATGGCTGGGTTTTCATTTTGTTAACGGTGTATTGTTCTAGACATTTTCCAAAATATAGGATGGTGTTTTTTTATTTATTTTAGTTTGATTTTGTCTTAGTTTTTTAGACTGTTAATTGGTGCTTCTTGCTCGTGTTTTTTTGGGTTTGTCTTGTATAATCTCAATAACTTAATTTATTAACATCTGTTAATTGAGGCTTGCTAGTTATTTCTGGTGATAAATGTCTGCTTGCTTGTTGTTTGGGTTGCTATAAGTGGACCAAGATGTGACTTTGTGACACACTAAGCACTGTTCAAGGAAAATGTGGAAAGAATACTTGAGAGTGAATGCAGAAAAAAATAGGACTTTCTCTTTAGTTTTTATTTTTTGTTTTGTTTTTTTTTTTATTTGGGTGTTGTGGGGGGGGGGGGGGGGGGCAATCGTATGTTTGTTTAGGAAACTACTATCTCTCTGATTTCTAGAAATTTCTGTGGTATAAATAATTTTTTTCAACCTAACCTGTTAAAGTGCGTTCACTACAAGAAAACTGTGGTCTAATTTTTTGCAATTAAAATAAATTTATATTAGTCAAAGCAGTTTTTTGAATAACAGTTTTTTCTGCTGTAATTTCACAGTTATTTCTTCAAATAATAGCAGCTGCCTCAAACAGACCTTTAGTTTCAGTGTTGGCTTAGCTATGTGCAAAATGGAGTTTAATAAGATGTGGCTGGTGGCGGGTAAAGGGGGAAGAGATTAATGATCCTTACAATTTTCATAGTGTTGTAGAGTTAATAAGATGTTGGCTGGAAAGCAACCCTGATTAATGGTTGGTTTTTTAGTTTATAAACTATGAATATACTTTAAATGTTAAGGGCTTGCTGGGAATTTCCTATATATTACAACAGACGCTAGAAAGGGATTCAGGGGTCAGTGGTAGAGCTTCTCCTAATAATTTCATATTTTATAGCTCACAAGGCATGTAAATGAAAATTTTGAAGGATATCTTCTATAAATGCGGTTAATATTTTCTCAATGAACTTTGTTGTCACACCAACAATGCACAATCAAGAGCCAGTTAACGTTGAAGGTTTAGGGTCCATTTGAGAAAGCTGTTAAGGGCTTGAAAGCAACCTTGATTAATGGGTGGTTTTTTAGTTTATAAACTATGAATATACTTTAAATGTTAAGGGCTTGCTGGGAATTTCCTATATATTACAACAGACGCTAGAAAGGGATTCAGGGGTCAGTGGCAGAGCTTCTCCTAATAATTTCATATTTTATAGCTCACAAGGCATGTAAATGAAAATTTTGAAGGATATCTTCTATAAATGCGGTTAATATTTTCTCAATGAACTTTGTTGTCACACCATCAATGCACAATCAAGAGCCAGTTAACGTTGAAGGTTTAGGGTCCATTTGACAAAGCTTTCTGTCTATTTTGCCTTTCAGACTGCAATCGTATGTTTGTTTAGGAAACTACTATCTCTCTGATTTCTAGAAATTTCTGTGGTATAAATAATTTTTTTCAACCTAACCTGTTAAAGTGCGTTCACTACAAGAAAACTGTGGTCTAATTTTTTGCAATTAAAATAAATTTATATTAGTCAAAGCAGTTTTTTGAATAACAGTTTTTTCTGCTGTAATTTCACAGTTATTTCTTCAAATAATAGCAGCTGCCTCAAACAGACCTTTAGTTTCAGTGTTGGCTTAGCTATGTGCAAAATGGAGTTTAAAGGTTTTTGAACAATGTAGGATTTTAATAGTTAAATTTCTTGGTGCTTATTTTGATGCATGTCTTCTGAATAAGGCATTGGTACGATTCGACCCATAAATTATCATGATTTTCTACAGAAATTATGACAAATAAATATTTATTTCAAGAACATCAAACGTTCAACTCGAATACAAAAGATAAACACCTACAATTTGAGAGTAGGCGATCTCTCCCAATTTTTACAATTTGAGAGGTGGGAAATCTCTCAAATCCTAAACATAAGACTAACAACAATAGTCTCATGTATAACCCTAAACCTAAACTATTAAGTCCTATTTATACTAAACAATAATAAATGACAAATGACTAGTTTTCTTTTGGTCTAATAAAAGACTAAATTGCCCTTAGTCACACAAAGACAATTGTTCTTAGGTTAAACACTCACGTAACAAGAGCTTATTGATGTAAACTTCTGAATAAGGCAACTATTTATGTAGTATCTTTGGACTGTTTATGGCCACTTTCAATGTCCATATTATTTCAAAATATATCTAGTCATCAAGAGCAATGTTTGTGCAAGTGAGAGAGTGGGGGAGGCAGAATAAAAGGTTGTGGATTTGAAGTGTGGACACATGGACATAAAATCAACGGTGATAAGTTTATGATCAAGGAAGCATATATTTTTGGTAAGTCATTCTGACATTTCTTACTAATATTTCTCTTTCTTTATTATAATTTAGATGAGTTAACTAATGCTTGACCTAGTTTTAAGCATGGGGGATTGAACACCCCCAACAAATTTTGGACAAAAATAATAATTGGGTTTGACATATATTTTGGCTCGAAACTTAGGTTTACCCAAACCAACTTGATTTGATCATATTTATGGACATTATTTATTTTTAAGGGATTACACTTTATTGACCCAACCCAGTTTGTAAAAAAAAAGGCGTTTGAATCTGAGTTATTTATTAAAAATATATTCATGGAATATTTTGTTTCAGCAGCAAGTAATGATAACTCTATGTGAGCTACTAGATTGGGGTGCTATACCATTAGAATTATAATATTGGGTAGTGTGATAATAAATTCATAATTGTTAATGGTACATTAATAAAAATTCATATTAATTATATAATTTTAGTCTTTTATTGAGAAGACATAAAAGACTCCATCTAAATATCTGTAATATTAAAAATTGTATTCTCATGCTCTTTTGGAGGGCTAAAAACATTTGTTTTCGTTGAAATCCAACCAACCCTTGGCGTTTTTTTTAGGCCTCCTAGATAGTGTTTATGAAGTGGATTTAGTGGTGAGATGATTCGGGACTAGTGGGGAACGAGTTTATGAGAAGTTGATGACATTTGGACAAGGATAGACATTTTTTTCGGCAGCTTTCTCGGCTGACAACTGAAAAGAGAACTCCATAATGACAATGTAAGGGTAGCGAGGAGGTTTAACAACTTTTATTGAGTGAGATACATGCACATCACTTGCAAAAGGAAGAAAGATATATCACTCTTTAGAGCAGGAATTAGAGATAAAATCTCTAAAATACACCAGGAAAGAAAAAATTAAAAAAAAGAGGAATTAAGAAGATTTAAATAGTTCTCTAGTAGAAAATATCCTAATTAGAAGTGGATAAATAGGAAAGAGATCAAACGGAAAAAAATAAGTTAAATTGGTGTTGGTGCCCTTGTCCAAATTGCAATTTCATGTCTTCTTACAATCTTGCGCAAACGCAAGATCTTGCAATCATTTATGGCAAGGAACTAACACTTCGCGTCATTCTGTCAGACTAGGAGAAGATGCTTCTTCTTCTATGGAAAGATCTATATCCTACTATTGGATGTTCTTTTCCATGAACCACCTAAGAAGATTTATAATGTTTTGGTTGAGAACTTCTGTCTGGCCATCTGTCTTGAGTTTCATAGAAAAATTGAGAATAATTAAATGAATTATATAGGCTTGAAGCAATTAAGTATTAGCGAACATATATGTGTAAAGTATATTTTACGTTCAATATCCAATTGCATCCCTATATTCGGGTTTCACTTACACAGCCACTTAACCAAACTTAGCAGCTGCAGATTATCAAACATTGGAAAGGAATTAAAGGGTGTTTCTTAGCCAAAAACAAAACCTTGCCTTAGATTCTTTGAAATTCAAATATTTTATATTTTACTAAGAAAAAAGTATCTAGAGCCATAAGCAGCATTTTGAGAAAAACCTGTAGGCTTTTTGGAATATTCATTAAAGTGCTTTCCAAGTCATCTTGCACCTTCACCAATATTTTTTTCCATTGTGCTATTCTTACAAGAATTTACTTACATTGTGATGCCATCAAATCTTCTTTTCTATTTAGTGACATGATTTTATTATGTTATGTAATTTTTTTTAAGCCTTAAAATCCTTGATATGTTTTTATGCAGCTTTATTGGCGTACAAGGTACTTTGGGTACTTACTGGAGGCAATTTTAGTTTTGGAGTTTGGTTTGAACATTAGAAAGTAAGTTTCTTATGCATTGAACATCTTTTTGAATATTTGTGCATTTTGTTTGGTTGGTGATATTTTGATTCTCTTCATCTAAATCTGGGATTTAATATCTTTGCTCTAAATTTCAGTAGGCGTTTTTGTTTGAAATGTTTCCCAAATAGTTTTTAATATGAAGCAGTTCTACATCAAACTATTAATGCTGATACCAATGATGTATCATACTTTTTTTTATCTTATTGGTCTTATAGGCCCATCATGGATTGATGTCAAGGCCTAACATGCATTTGATTATGCATAGATGCCATGATATTAGCGACTTTCATTCTTAGACTTGACCATTATAGTTAAAAGATATTTTTTTTTTTCCGAAGAAAATTTCAGATTGTTGAAACCTTAGAAGTTTCAGGTGGTTTTCCCAGCATGGACCGTCCGGCTATCCAAGATCTTATGGCAGATTTGATTGAAGACCAATTTGGAAAACTTTTGTTGTGTTTATTCTTTTTCCTATTTATGTTTCATTATTATTATTTTTTAAGAATGATTTCCTTTCCTAAATAGGGTTAGATGAATTTGGTAAGTTTGTAAATTAGGAGGAATTACCATATATATATATATATATATATATATATATCGAATGGCGGACGACTGCTCTGCTAGGGTTTCAAATGTTTCGAATGGCGATCGCCATTAATTCTGTCGCTCGAAGCTTCCACTCCTTTCTGCTTCGTCGGCGTTCGTCTGCGTCTCGATGTCGACGCGTTTGCGTCTGCTCTACGAGTCCAGCCGCTCGACATCTGCGTTCTGCTTTTGTCTGCGACAGAGCCGCTCGACTCCAGTTTAGCGCCACGTCATCTGCGACAGAGCCGCTCGTCAGCCCAGTTTTGTGACGCTTCTCACTGTTTTTCTTGCCGCAACAACTTCGATGTAGCTTAATGTCGACAGCTCTCGTTGCTCTGATGGCGCCTCCTTGTTTGGTTGAGCCGGACAAAGTTTCTTTTGTCCACGTGGTGGGTAACCCTCAGGTGGAGCCCTCAGTGGGATTTTCCTCAAGTTATAACGAATCTCGTGAGGGTACAAATGATTTTCTTTTTATTAAAAAGTAGGAAAGGTGGAAAAGAAACAATCTTTTTCTCTGAATCATAAATTTCTACCCTGACGGAAAAATTTAAGTTTGTTGTTATTAGAAAATTTCAGTGGGGACACCCTCCTATGGATATTATCAGGAAGGGTGGTGATGATTAAGCCAGTCGGCAAGTGGAAAGTGAAACTTATGAATGGGAGACATGTGTTGATCCAACTAATAATGGCTGAAGACTACACCAGAATTTTCTCTAAGAAATATCTTGATATCGCAGGAAAAGCTATGAAGTTGCTCAAGTGGTCTTCTGATTTCGACTCAAATCATGAAGCTCCCAATGTATCGGTATGGTTTAGTTTACCTGGTCTTAAGCTGCATTTTTTTTACCATCAGGTTCTCTACTCTATTAGGGTCATCCTTGGGGATCCTTTGAAACTAGATCTGCCTACTTTCAACCTAACTAGACCCTCGGTGGCCAGAATACTTGTGGAAAGGGATATTACTTTACCTGATGTTACTGAAGTCTGGTTGGGCACAACCCATAATGGCTATTGACAACAAATCGTCATGGAACATAAACCTCAATATTGTACCTACTGTAAGATGTTTGGCCATATCTTTGCTAAATGCCACAAACGTCATCCTAATTTGAAATCTAAGGTTCAGGTGAATAAGGATGGGTCTAACCCCACTGCTATGGTCATTTTAGTTCCACCTGCGAGGATACTACCAGTGGCCCCTGAGGACCCCTCCCATGACACTGCTATTACTGTAACTGTGAGTGATGCAATGCTGACACCTACAAACTCCATACAAAACAATACTGATGGATTATTACCTATAAATGATATGATATTGTTCAGACTGATAATGTGAGTTGGACCTTCTTTTAGCCTCACAGCTCCATTCTTCAAGAAGTTTCCGGTGTAGCGACAACTCATACTTCACATATTGTAGTACTTATTGTGGGTATTATTGTTGGTCTACCACTATTGGTAATCTTTCTGATTCAGCTCTACACCATCAGGCGGATTCTTCGGAGGAGAAATGACAGGTTTACACTTCCAGGAGGAAGAAGAAGAATGGAGATCTACTGGAGTTCAGGAGTCTTATGGATGATATTTTGGTTACTACGGGTAATGGTCAGTACCTTACCAATCTGCTAGTTAGATCCCTACCGAGAACTAGAGCCAGAGACAATACTAGATTGGGATGACCCACACTTTTTCAGCCCCTGGGTGATTTTTTGTTTCTTTTTATTTCTATATGTACCCATCTTTTAAATTTTTTCGTGTGTGTTGTATCGTGTGGGTTGGGTGTTTAGGCTCGTTGGGTTTTTAGGCTCACCCATATAAACCTATATGTATCTTTATCTTTAATAATAAATATATATATATATATAGAGAGAGAGAGAGACACACACACACATACAGACACAGACACACACACAGACACACACACACACACATACACACCCTACTTTTGAATAAAATATCAAGAAATTTTTACATGGTGTGAGAGCCTTGAACCAAAACTCTAGCTTCCCTGTCACCAAAACCTCTCCAATCCCTCAGCCAGCTTGTAGGCCAGTTGGAAATCCCTTCTTTCCGTGCCTTCTGACAATCTCCTCTTGTCTTATTGGCAAGAAATCTCCTCTGCCTTCCGTGCAAAAACTCCCCTCTTTCCAATCGTAAATATGCTCTGGTCTTCTTGCACTGGTCTTCCTAATTGGAAATATGTGGTCTTTCCGACAGGAAATCTCCTACGGTCTTCTTAGTCGGAAACCACCTTTGATTTCTTTACTGGCTCCTCAGTCGGAAACCCTTCCCGACAAGCTTTCCTCCTTCGACTGAACTCTTCAGTAGCAGTATAATCTCTTTTGGTTCTTTGCAGGTCCCTCAACCGCCCTTTCGTGCAGGCCTTACTCCTTTGATAAAATTCTTCAGGTGCAGCATGCACAACAACAACAAAAGCAATGACAACAAGCAACAACAACAACAATAATAACAACAGTTGGAATCCTCCAGGCATTCTCCACTTCTGTGGGAAGAAGTAACCAGGAATCTTGCAGCTTGTATTAGCTCATAATTCTTCCAGCGCTAAACGTGAATAGGGTTTATGACCAAGTACATAATGAAAACATCTAGTTCTAGTCCAAAGCCTTCCAGTTTGATAATACACCATTTCTGATCACATGACTGTGGATATTTATGCTCTTATCAACTACCAAAAGATCACGAATCTCACTCTAGTATTTTTGGGAAAGGAGATGTGAAAATCTCTAAAGATATTCAACTTTCATCAGTGTTCTATGTTCCCTAATTAGATTGCAATTTCCTTTTAATTAGCAAGCTTACTCATGACCTAAACTGTATTACTAAGTTTCATTGTAACTTTATGAATTGCAGGTGGTGGATTCAGGGAAGGTTATTGACAATGCTAAATTGTATCATGGGCTATATCTGCTCAAGGAAAACTATTCCCTTAACACACAATTCACTTATTCATTATCGTCTTCTCATAATTCCAAATCTGTTGTGTCTAAATATGTTGAAAGTCAAGTTTTATTAAGGCATTTTCATTCGGGTTATTCTAATTTTCTTGATATTGTGAAGTTGTACTCCCATCCTTTTATTAATAAATGCCTTAGTTCCATCAATGTGAAACCTGTCAATTGATGAAAGATGCCATCATCTATATCCACTGTCTCAGCACAAATCCTTGCATCCTTTCTCTATCATCCATAATGATATTTGGGTACCTTCAAAATTGAAAACCACCAACGGACACATATGATTTGTATTCTTCATTGATGATTACACTAGAACTTGTTGATTATTTCCTTGTGAAGGAGAAATTTGAAATTGCACAAATTTTCCAACCTTATGACATGATTTGCACTCAGTTCCAATGCAAAATTCAAATTCTTAAAATTGATAATGAAAAGGAATTTTTCAAATCTATCCTTGGACCCTTCCTTGTAAAGAATGATATTATTTATGTGAGTTCCTATGTTGAGACTCCTAATTAAAATGCGATTGGTGAGAGAAATGATAGACATCTCCTGGAGGTATTTAGGTCTATGATAGTTTCTTACAATATTCTAAAATATTCTTGGAGAGACATGCTCACAACCACCTATCTCATGAATAGAAGACTAAACAGGGTTCTTGGATTCAAAGTCCATCTCTTTATTTTAATGTAAAAATTCCCTCATGCTTGAGCATTCTCATCCCATCGTCCTCTAAAATATTTGGTTGTATCTCTTTTGTCCATAATAACCAACCAAACAACACAAAGCTTAACCCAAAATCTATCATGTGTGTTTTCCTTGGGTATGCCTCAAACAAAAAGGGGTATAATTGTTACTCTTCTATACCATAAAATATTATAACTCCATGGATGTCATATTTTTTGAAATTCAATCATAATATCTCAAGTCTAATGTTCGGGGAGAGTGCAAATGAGCATCAATTTTTTGATGCACTTGATGAAACCTACACAACTACCCACCTGCTTCTCTTCCTACTCCTTTCCACCTTACCCTCCTACTCTTGTTGAGGATATTTAATAAACCCAACTTGAAGTTCACAACAAAGATTAGTGTGTAAACTAGAAGGACAAAATCTTAAGCAGGTGGAAGATAATTCGCAAAACCAAAATTGCTCTTCTGCATTCTCATTTACCTGAAATTTTGGGTGAGTCTATTACCTAGAGTTATCTTCTTGCTCTTCTCGTGCTGATCACGAGGAAGTTGTACCATATATCAAATTCAAGAGTATGTAGCTTATTGGAAGCTATCAATAGAGTCTTTTTATCTAACCTTGATAGTGTGGAGATTCCTAAATCCATTCATGAAGTTCTTGAAAATTCAGAATGGAGGAAAGCAGTGGAAGTGGAGATTCGAGCATTAAAGCATAATGACACATGGATT